ATATATATATATATATATATATATATATATATAATTTTTTTTTAATCATATTGGAACAATATGTTTGACTGTATATAATCTATGATTATGTTATCCCATTCAATCTCTTACTAACTTATAATCACATTTTTAAATTACAAAAACGAATAATAATATATCATATAATTGGTTAGTCTTCTCCAACTATATAATAATTTTTCACCATTCAAATATATATATTAGTGTAGACCCCAACGTGTCACCATACTAGTTTTTCCAAAAACTAAGATTCATAAATTATTTTCCACCTGTGGAAGAATTTTGATTAATTTTATTTTTTTATAAACATTCATCGAAAAAAGTTATCCAAAATATAACCTATAACTAATATAGAGCTCCATTTGATTAAGTGCTTTATGGAAAAGGGAGTAAACAACACATTTTTTTAGCAATATTAAATGATGAAACTAAATAATTAAAAGAGTAATTTTTACTGAGTTAATAATTTAGTTCTTAAAGCATAAATTAGTCTACAAATTTAAAAAAAAATTAAAAGTTATTTAAGACTTTCTTTCATTAATTCAAATAATTATAAAAATATTTTATATATTGATTTGAATTTATATAACGAATTATCATATAATTTTTAAATTCTTAAAAATTTTGAGAACTTGATTTATATAATAAATTTTTTTAATTTAACAGTTAGATAATTAAAATTTAACATGCACAATAAGTTATTGAATATAATTACTTAAGTAAAACTTACTCTTGCAGTCATGTAATCCTTCCTCGTATCAAATAAATTTGATCTTTTAAACATTTTAGTATGATTTTTGTGTAATAATTTTAAGACAAACTCTTTCATTCATTTTTAGTGGTTTACATATATACTTATGTTTTTGTCACTATATATATATACTTACTTATGTACTACTTTAGAATATGTAGATTTATTAAATTTACATATACACATAAAAGATTTTTCAGTTATTATTCCAAATTCTTACATCTTTCACGTATCTGTATATGAAAAACACATTTGAAATCGCGAAGCCCTCCACCATTATTCTGAGAGATAAAAAAGGGTCTGGCCAAAAGTGATATGCATTTTTCAGCCATGGAAGAGGCAATGCATGTGCTAGCTTTAAAGTTTAAACAAATCCCTCCTTAGCGGTCAAATAATAAAATTAAGACACATTGAATAGAGAGGAGGTTACTGGTTAGAGGTTTTTATTTTCTAAGAAGAACACGTAAAAGTATTATGTTTTAAAAGCCCAGTTGAAAATTCAGTATACTTATTTGAAAGGGTGACTTTATGTGGTTATTCATCAATTCATTCTAAGGAGAAATAAATACTATATTGTTGACGGGCCGTATACTTAATTACTTACTACCAAGAATTTATGTTTTGTTAATGATGATTCCAAATTGAAATTTCCGTAGTCGGTCCTTGTAATTATTTGTCACAAAAGCAGCAGGCCAAAATTAGTGTCTTGCCAGAAAGAGTAGCCACTTTTTTATTATTATTATCAACCCTAATAAATTAAGCAGAGCAAAAGTCTAAGTAATCTCCAAACATTTCCCATTTGGCTAGCAAATTAAGCAATTTTTAGTTTTTACCCTCTCCATATTTTATAAGTGTTATACTCTATTTATAAATAATAATAATTTGTAAGTAATGCTGTTAACTGTCTAACTTTTGTTCCATGTTTAAATAATGTAATTTACTTGGAACTTGTTCAACCTTTTGTGTTCATATAATAAGCATTAACCATGTATGATTAAAGTGTTAGGAAATTCATCTTATATATGAAATTAAAATAATTATCAACTATTATGATTGAGACAGTTATAAGAGGTTGAGGCATAGGAGCAGGATGTACACTATCATAAGTTTAAACTTTAGTGAAAAAAAAAATAGAACAACAATATTGCAACAAAATATTAGGTTAAGTATCTTTTCGTCTCTCTCTCTATATATAAATTAATTGTTATTTTTAGAAGCACTGATTTTTGATTTTTTTATAAAAAAAATGCGTAAAAATTTATTTTTGACACTAACTTCATTAATTTAATTTAATTGTGATGCTCAATTAATATTACTATTTTTTATCTTTTAAAAAAGTGTACATGTATGATGTGTTTGGTAAATAAGCGTTTTTGTTAAATTGAACTAACAAAATTTGTAATGGAAATAAAATTTGATACATTTTAAAAAAAATAGAAGACCAAAAGTCAACTTTTTTAAAAATGAAAGACTGAAAATAATTTTTTATATATTTATAAAGACAAAAAATGTGTTTAACCCTAAAAATATATTTAGACATCATTATTCAACAACAAAAAAATTGGTTATATGTTTTCAACAATAATTTTTAAATTTTTTAATAACCTTTTATATTTAAAAATATATATTTTCTAATTAAAAAATTATATAATTTTTTTATTAAATTGAATTTAATATTATTTTGAAAGAAATCCATTCTATATATTATATTAGAATTACTATTATGAATTAGAGTTTTGTTAAATATCATTATTGATTGCAACCCAATGAATTTTAGAATTTGTCGTTGATTTTATTTGCATATGTGTTGTTATGTTAGTTGTTGTTTTTTAAGTTGAAAGACTCTATAATTAATGAATTCCTTATGAGTTTTTAGGTAGTTGAGGGTTTCTTTGACCATGGTCCAATTTGATTTTGAAAGGAAAAACATATAAGATTTATTTTGATACTCAAGTCTCATAAACTCATTTCACTAAATAACTTGGAGAGAAGAATTTTGGTTTCTAAGAACCCTTCTTCTTCTTTTTAGCCCTTGGAGCTATCATTGAGTGGTGATCCGAAGCAGTGAAGTTGAGGATTGTTGTTGGAGTAGTGTTTTCTCAGAGTTGGAAGCTTAGAGTCATCTTTTACTTTCTTCTCCTCTCCTTCTCGAATTTTGAGACTTTTAGAGGTAAGAGAAACTACGAACTTTGATTCTTATTGAATAAATGATTTGTATGTTAGTTGATTTCACATAAAGATGTTGTTTGCTTGTGTGATTCAAATGAAATTGTAGGGATTGGGGTTTATTGTTTATGAAGCATGCTTGAGATGAAAATTGTTGAATTGATCAAATTGGTGGTTGCATTTGTTTATGGGGCTGGATTTGAGTTGTATGAAGTGTACATGTGTTATCTAGTGTTGCATGTTGGAAATTGTTTGATTTTCAAGTGGTTTGAGCTAAATTCATGAGTCTACAAGTGTAGAACTCATCGCCACATCAGGTGCACCTTCATGACATCGAATGTGGTTCAATTAAGGGCATTCTATCATGTTCACGTCGAACATAAGATTGGTAGCATTACGTTGAGAAGAGAGAATTGTCTCGGGTTTAACTAGCACTGAGCATGGGTTGAATGATGCTCAGCGTGAGGTTAGAGAATTAACTTTGCCTAGAATGACATCAGGTGCTAAAGGAGCGACACTAGGCTTGAGGAGAGAGAATCATCTTCGATTAAATTGAGGTCGGGTGTGGGACTTTTTCATGCTAGGTGTGAGGGCCCATGGGCCCCTACCTAATCCACACCGAGCACGAGTTGTATGACATCGAGCATGGGTGAGGAAGACGTAGGGTAAATAGCGTTGGGTGTAGGTTGCCTTAAATTAACTTGTTATTTTATGATGAAATTGGTGAACATGTATAGGATAATTGGATCTAATACATGTTGTATGATGATTAAGTTGTGCTATATATATTTTGTATGTTGATGTAACATGATGAATCTGTATACATTGATCTAGGATACTATATAATGGATGTTAAGGTTGAAGTTGAGTTAAGTTACATGTTGTTTAGTTGAATAGTTGTATTGGGAATGCTTTGGCATTAGTTATATTGTGTTGATCGACTTAAAGGATAAGTTGTTTTAAAGTTGCATACCTCATTGTGAGGATATTGTGTTGTGACGCTCAAAGAGTCCAATTTTGTTGAAAACTCTTTCTTGGGATATTGACCCTTGAAGAGGATAGTTGAGTCTTCTTTAAGACCCTTAGTGGATACAATATGTAGGCTAGGTCGAGACATACCGACTACAAGCGATCATTGTTAATCTGTATGTGGGTTAGGTCGAAGTATACATGTATAAAACAACCAAATTAGAGTAAGGTACATGGTTAAGAATTATAATCTCTAACTAAATACTAGAAGGGCATAATATTTTGTGGTAATTGACAGACTAATCTCATATGTGGATGAGTTTTACTAGCTAATGCCATAGGAGACTCACACTTAAGTTGTTCTACCTTGACAAAAATACTAAATTTCCTAGTTTAAGTGACAATATTCAAGAAATCATGTTGTTAGGGATTGATATCCCAAATGATTGTTGATCTAGCTGGATTGAAAATATCGTATTGTTCGTTCAATAGGATCAAGCTACTTAGATCACTCATCCACATTATAGTTGAAATATGTGATGACACATATAGTTATTGTATTGTGCATATGATGTGAGATTGAATTGTGTTGTCCATATGAGATGTTGACTTGTGATGATTATGTTGTTGTGTTATATGACACATATGCTATGTTGAAAATGTTTATCTGGGTTGATTGATAAGTTGAGCATAAAATGGTGTTGTTATGATAGTAGTTCATATTCTATGTTGTATATACTCATTCTTTGAACTTTAGCTTACCTTTCATCTGTTTTTATGTGATTGAACTACGATAATCATATTCCATATGAAAACAAAATAGTGATGCTTAATGAAATGCATTTTTGAGGTCTTTTGAGTGGATGACAATATATATATTGTTTTGGTGCCACTCTCATATAGCTATGTTGTCGATATTGCTTGATTAAAAGTTAGGAATATATGTATGTGTGTATATTCCTACTTTTATGAATTTATGTTGTTGTTGAATATTTTAGAGGATTATATGTATTTATCATGGTATGTTTGTCAAAGTACTTAATGTATGACAAAATGTTAAGTAGTAATAGTTGTCATGTTGTTAGTTGTTGAGTCATTAAAGATAAAGATCATATTGGATCGTTACAGTTTTGTGCTCTTAATGTCATTAGTTATCTATTCGATAATCTTAAAATTATTATCTTTTATTTATCATTTTACTAATAAAAAAATATCATTACCCAAATAAAACTTTTATAACAATTTTTCAATATGTTTTTTTAAAGATTTTTAAAACTTTTTTATCATTAAAAACATTATTTTCATTTATTAATGAAAATATATTATTTCCATTTTTTAAATTGAACTTCATTTTATTTATTAAAAAAACATCAATAATAATTATATTTATTTTGCCTCTCTATATATTAATGCATATTTAGTCTATTTTATAATAATAATAATATTTTTTAATCTACACCTAATATAAAGGAATATCAATGTTTGTAAATCGTTTTTAGTCTTCACTTTTTAGTGAATTATTATATCTCTTAAATATTAAAAAAATAAATTTTCATATTATCTTGAAATAATCACTTATAATCATTTAATATCTCATTCATATAACTATTAGAAATATGAAGTGTCTCGATCTCTCTAATTTAAATAATAATTTAAGTGTATATATAGTTAAATATGTTTAATTTTTCATTCTTGTAAGAGCTTTTTAAAATAGTTATTCCTTTAAAAAAAAATGGGACACAAACAATAAAAATAAATAAACGAATCTGAATATTGGCTTAATTTAAAGATATATTTTTTTTACCACATCTTTATTATTATTATTTTGAAAAAGGACATCACTCCCTCCACTTTGCAATGAAAGTCAAAACCCAAACGACATGCAAAAACCTAACCTTCATAGAATAGAATCATAGATTCATAGATGCCCAATTCATTTTATTCCCACTAGACCCCGTTTCACAAACTCTGACCGCAGGGCCACATCTTATCAAGAACCCTAAACCAAAATTGCACAATCTAATTTACGAAGTCCAACCAAGCCCCCTTTTTTACCCTTTTTCTTTTTACTCAGACCAGAAGTAAAAAAAAAAAAAAAAAAAAAAA